TGTTGCCTAGCACTGTACAGTAGTTATAAAAATATATAGGCCTATACACAAATAGATTAGTATTAACCTTGCTTGAATAAGATGTTATAAGAGCACCTAACAGATTTCCAACGAATACCGTAGTTCCTCTTAATTGAATCGCTATGCTAATACGTTTTTAATAATGCTGATATTTCAGGGCCTATTAATTTGTAATGTATACTTGTTTACATTTAATTTATGGTGTAGCGGTGCAAATGTATACAAGGCATTTTTTTTTTAAATAATGCTCACGAGGCTTTCTATTTTCTATAGTGTACGGTACGAAATAACTATAGAACAATAAATGCGTTACCTGTCAGGTAGTTACGGATCACGCTGATACGCAATTCTGCACAATGACGCTGCGAGTTATTAGTTATTATCCTACCTCTACCTAGCAGACATGATGTATAAAAGCAATGTACTTACACGTATACACAGAAGCACCTAACAGACTTCCAACGAATACCGTAGTTCCTCTTAATTGAATCGCTATGCTAATACGTTTTTAATAATGCTGGTATTTCAGGGCCTATTAATTTGTAATGTATACTTGTTTACATTTAATTTATGGTGTAGCGGTGCAAATGTATACAAGGCATTTTTTTTTTAAATAATGCTCACGAGGCTTTCTATTTTCTATAGTGTACGGTACGAAATAACTATAGAACAATAAATGCGTTACCTGTCAGGTAGTTACGGATCACGCTGATACGCAATTCTGCACAATGACGCTGCGAGTTATTAGTTATTATCCTACCTCTACCTAGCAGACATGATGTATAAAAGCAATGTACTTACACGTATACACAGAGGTTCGGTCAGGAATAATGTACGGAAAATCCACCGTACAACTTTCGCGTAGGAACCTCTTCTTCCATGTGCATGCATTGCACCACGCCTTCACATAACGTCTCCTTCGCCTCCGAACTTTTTTTGCGTATTTGTCCAACGAAGACGGTAGCTTATCATCTGCGAGTAAAACGCTGTTGGTGACAGTAAACATTTTGTTGGTGATAATTAACTTGATTACCGAAAAACGCAAGTATGATAACAACACTTACTGCTGCTTGGAATTTATTTGCATATAGAAAGTTACACGTGATTATCTCCATGCAGGTGCACTAAAATAATAGTTGACTTATATAGCGCAAATTGTAGAAACCTCTATGCGCTTAGCATTATTACCCCCGATCATTGGATCAAGCACATATGGAACACATACTCAGGTCCCTTGGGGGAATTCCATAATGTTGCAGCTGTAATCAGCTCATTTTTGTGTTTGCACCTACCAGGTACCCACTAGTACTCCTGGGTTGATAGAAACAACCGTAGGCCTAGGTAATTAAGTACCTTATACCATGGACCTGTTACCTAAAGACACAAGCCAAATACATGGGGTTGAACCTCTGACCTCAAGGTGAAGGAATAGAACAACAACCGCTGCTCCAAACTACTTCTAAGTACTGTAAACGTAAATGTAAATTTTAAGAAGCATTTATATACCGATTGTAAGAATTAAAAACAAAAAAAATACTTACATATAATGATAGTTGATCGAGTTCCCAGTGCACATATCAAGCGCCCTGAGCATTTTACATTAGATGGATGTGTGCGCTATATAAAACTACACTATTATTATTATTATTATTATTATTATTATTATTATTATTATTATTATTATTATTATTATTATTATTATTATTATTATTATTATTATTAGTAGTAGTAGTAGTAGTAGTAGTATAATAGTAATGAAGAAACATGCTATTAATCAGCAATATATCATCTTTATTCATCTAACGGATACAAGGTTTAATGAAAAAATGATGAAAGTGACCTCAAAGGAGCCCAAATAAATAAATAAAGGCGAGTCGAATGGCCGAGCGGTTAGCAGGGGCGCCGCAAGCTATAGCCATAATATCGGCGCTGGTTCGAACGGCACGCTCGCCTATGGTTCTGGTGGTAGAACAAGTCTTCTCGGATAAGGACTA